CTCAAACCATCAATTACGACCTGCATCTTCCAACGCTGATGACACATCATGATGCTACATGTGCGTATGCGAGCGTGTAACGTCAAATGCTCAAGCAATACGATCGTGAGGTACAAGTAAAAACGATACTGTAATTACTGATCTATCGTCTCACGGTTTCAATACGCCGGTAAGAGCAGCATACTCGTGGCAAAGTATGTCGCGTTCCGAAACATGCAGAAGAAGAATATGGCCAGACGTCTATACAAGCACAAAAGATGCAGCTTCTGACTGGCAGCCGCACCAAGGAAGGCAGGGAGTTTGTAGACTTTTCTACCGCCATGGCCATCAGCCTGGCGAAGTCCTCAGCAGCAGGCAGAGCAACTTGCAAAGCGGCTAAGCGAATCATGCCAACCACCAACCACTGCTAACCAATATCGGCTGCCAAAAGGCACAGCTGCATCTGCTGAAACTAGTCTGAGCTGTCAGACTCTTAACATCATGAAGACCTGTCGCTGCCCCGTCATCACTGCCCCCCATTGTGTCCCCCGGAACATGCAGCCAGGAGTCAGTGAAGTCTAGCATGCTTGAGAGGCAAATGTTCCCCAGCAATTTTTCCTCTCCAGCCTCACAGGTAAGAGCATTGTAGCCTTCGATCAGCGGACAGCTTCCAAGATCTGACAAAAGCAGCATGGCAGCGGTGCTTCGATTCAAGAGGAAGGCAGCGCACTAAGGGCGCCTTCTGCTGAGCCCGCACCATTGTCTTCAGTCGCAATGCCAAATTCAGGGGAGTGTCCTGGCAGCAATGCAGCAACACTTGTCAAGCAGCGGCAAACCAGCTTCGCAATCTGTGCCTTGTGAGTGAGGAAGTGGGCAAAGGCATTGGTAGAGGCCGCTCGGACTGCCATGGAGAGCCCCAATTGCGTTTTTCCTCCCGCAATGCTGCAATGCTCCAAGTCTTCGACACTCAAAGGTATCAAGAGCACATCGTGACAGAGATGGCCACAGACATGTCAAATCACCTAGACAGCCGTGTGACTGTTGAGGGCACTGGCTTCCTGTGCCAGGCGCCCCATAGATCTCTGCGACTTCTCCACTCCACAGGCCGCCTGAATACAACGTACAGCAGCCCCAAGTCCCTAGCAGAAATGGACCCGAAATGGACCTCCAAGAAGCCTGTCCACCTCGCAGCCAAGGCCAGATGGCTCTGGAGATGCAAGGACCTTCTGGCGTCATATGCGTCATGCACCACACTCAGCGACCAGCGACTCAGCGATCCGATGCCTGGTCCAATGATGCAGAGGCCGGCTGGCCATCCATGATTTCCTTCATTCGTACTGCGCATGGCGCATGTTGAAAAGCACGCAAGATCACGCAAGAATTTCACCGCTTCCAGCTGTCCCGCCTCAAGTCCTAAGAGGACATCCGCAGTGGCCCATCGCACTTTCCCCTCATCCTGTCAAGCAAACAATAAACCTTCAGCAATCTCTTCAGCAAATCTTTGGCTCATGAGCTTACTTGAAATCGTCGAATCGTGAGCAAAACAGGGACTGCTTGACTCCGAAAACGAAGCTGACGCATACAAGATGCAAAACAAAATCATGCTGATCAAAGTCCTGAAATGCGTCCGCCAGTATCTTGTCGCAATACTCCCAGCTTCCTGGTTTTCCATGTATTGCCATGGCCTTTTTTGCATGCAGTCCATGCCAGCTGTGTGGCAACTTGGACTTTTTTAGAGCGTCTGTAGCTCATTGATTAAGGAACTGGTGGTGCATGCGAAGTCGTGTTGCATGCTCATATTTAGGTGTACAATTTTGACAATGTCACAGAGTTGATGCCAGACAGAAAAGCTAGACCACCAGATCCACAAGAAGCTCATGGTCGTGCCGAGCCAGATGCTGGGGAAGCGCACTTGAGCTCATGAGGTAGCAGCGCTCCATCCGAAAGCTGGAATGGCCAAGCAGCAATGAGCATCGTGTTCGGCTTAGAAATGCAGTACAGGGTTCTGCATGTATGTAGCGCGTGTAAGAGTAAGAAGCCTGTTCGTCTTCAGTCTCAGGTCAACTGGGGTCCAGACCGCCACACGTGTCAAGTAAAACTTGTAGCAGAAACACTCTCATGAAGGTGTCCGCTACGATCACTATGAGATGTTCATCAGCTGGTCTCTGATAGCTTTGGGACATGGGCGGACCCCTGGATTTTTGGGACTCCACTGCTAGGTGGCGCTGCTCAAATGGCAACGAAGACCCAGCATGGGTCCCAACAACGTGGAATTTATGCACAAGCAGCTGCCCCTATCGGAAGTTGGATTGCATCGCATCCACAAGGCCGGTTGATCGTATAGAGGCGCTGCACATGTTCAGCCTTTGGCTTCAAGGATTGCTTGGCTTTCCTGCGCGACCGATAGGAATTTTGTCTTCGACGCTGGAAGATGCTGGAAGTGTGCACGAAGAGTTGAAGCGGCAAGAATGTCAAGCAGTGAGAAATGTTGGCATTGTCAAGCCACTCAGGAATCTCAAGGGCCTAGTTTTGGAGCTGCCTGAAGCGCATCAGCAGGAAGCAGCAGGAGCCGCAGGCCGCCGCGACATGTGTAAGTCCCAAACATTTTTCTGCGCAGACGAAAACTTTGGGACAGGCTTTGCTGTGCCATGCAAGTTCAATGAGATCTTGCTTTGCAATTCATCTGTGAGCTTTTCTCATACTGTCCACTGTGCAGGCGAACCTTTGTAGTTGCACGTGAGCTCACAGCAATTGCAACTGTAGAAAAAATTAAAAGAATTCCTGTTGACAGGCGGAGTTCCGGCTGTCCAGGTTCCACTAACGGCAGCGTGGGCCGAAGTGTGGCAAGTCCATTAACCAACTCTGGCGCTTCTGGTCAGAAATGCACAAAGTCATAGTCCTCTTCCTCGCGCAGGCGAGCAACCGGAGTTTCTCGATACGCACAGCTGGTTACGTAAGAAAAGGAAAAGAGCACTTGTTACGGCAGGTTGGTAGGGCAGCAACACGGGATGAGGGACCTGCGTCAAACGTCCTAAACACTCAAAACTTGCGCCCGAAATCCTCCAAAGCGCAGCATTCTTGGTTGCAAGGCCTCGGAATCTACACACCTTCAAATCTGAATTTAAAGCTGATTGTTAGGGGTCCCTAGATTTCAAAGGCAAGAACCTCCAGAATCCGCAAGCCTCCAATCGAACACATGTAGAGGCGCCTTGGCGCCATCATCGTCCGTCGTCATGGCCACCCGAACAGAAGCATCAATCGAGTCTGGGAGCCTAACAGTACTGTTGCCAAATCCATGCCATGCTAGCATGGTCGCTGCCGGCATGTGCCACCACACACACAAGGATCTCTTCGTGCACTTAATTATGCCTACTGCTTCACCCGCTTACAAAGCCAGAGCAATCAAAACTAGATCCGGATAGATCCGGCACCCTCGCAGTCGTCCCAGGACCATTGTCACCACAAGGAGGAGCTGCGAAGCTCCACCTCAGAGCTTGTGGCTCACAAATTCTGATGCAAGGCTGATGGCAGCACGCAATGCCGAGGCGGCTTTAGCCTGTACGAATCACTATGCTGCAGCGCAACCACGAAATCCAAAGAGCTACCAAAATCTCTACTTTGAGTCAGAAGCAGTGGCATCCACCACCTTCAAACAAATCATGAGTGGAGTTGGGTGCCAGCAAGGAGGCCACCGTCATCCCAAAAAAGGAGCTGGCACACACTACAGAAAGGCCATCGTCTTGGATGTGAAATTTGGCTTCCCCCAACCCTGCTCCTTCATTTCAGCTCTCGGTCCTCGCGGTCCTTATCTGCGCAGATGACCCTTGGCCTTGGGCTGCTGTTCCCCCACCTGTCCCCACCCTCCCCCGAAACTCCAAACCCCTCACGCTGGCCTGCTCACTGTCTGCCCTGCACCGCGGCCTGATGCCTAAACAGCATCTGCAGCCGAAGTGTCCCTCTGCATTTGCCTGAGACACTCCTCGCTTCTGCAGTCGGGCCGAGGAGGCCTCGTCGCGCAACGTCTAAAAACCTGACTCTTGTGCTGGTGTGAAATCTTTTTGCACTTTCGAAAGCTTCTTGAAACACGACTTAACATCTTTGAAGGTATGGCCCGTCCTGCAAGTTTACGCGTCCAAATTGGTTGAACAAATCAAACTGCCATCCCTTCAAGCTGGGCGAAGAAAAAAAAAAACTTTTGATGCGCTCACAAGACCGCAAGAAAGCAGAACAAGCTGGATGAACTTGTTCTGGCGACTCTTCCCGCACCTCAACGCCAGAATGACGCGCCACCAAAATACTAAGGCAAGGGCTCCAAACACCACTGAAGGAGAACGTCTGGTTCCTGCCATGAAAATTATCTGCCATTTGCGGCCCTCATGCCAAACAAAAACATGCCGGCAGCACTCAAATCCCAGGCTTAAGCCGCAAGTACCATACGCAGAGAGCAACTCAAAGAGAACCTTCGTTCCATTTTCTCACAATAGAATCTCAATTCCAAGTAATATTGTGTCATGATGTTAAGAAATCACAACGCGTACGAGAGACCACCGGGATGCCAAATACTGCTGCTGCTGCTGCTGCTGCTGCTACTGCTGCTGTATCATTACACCTACATGGCAGTGCTAGGTCCGCAGCAAACATAGACTATGCCTACAGAGACTACAGACACTTGCGCCCACGGGGAGGGGACGAAAGCTTTCAAGCAGGGTGCATACCAGCACGTTAATTTTTTCATGAAGCGGCGGAGCGCGAACGGCCTCCGCGCGCCCAAGAACGGCTTCCAACGTGCCCAAAAACCTGCCATCTGGCGTCCCAAA